AACTTTGAAATGTGTGAGATTGTATTTTCAACTAATTCAGTTTTTGTAGGTTAATTTCCAAGATTTTTCATGTTGCTGTTTTCCACTGGAAAAATTTGAAATTTTGGGAAAATGAGCACCTTCTTCTTTATATGCAAAACGTTTCAAAATTTTCCCTTCATTAGTTTCTCAGGAAAACTTTGAAATGTTTGAGACTGTATTTTCAATTAATTCAGTTTATGTAGGTTGATTTCCAAGATTTTTCATGTTGTTATTTTTCACTGGAAAAATTTGAAATTTTGGGAAAATGAGCTTCACACCTTCCTCTTTACATACAAAAAGTTTCAAAATTTTCGCTTTTTTTAGAGGAATTTGTGGGGTATTTGGAGAAGTTCGCGGTGTGGTATTTGGAGGAATTTTTGATAGGATATCTGGAGCAATTTGTAGGAATTTTGAGGAATTATGCATAAAAAATTCCCCTTTGAGAAATTTTTTGCACCAATTTTGGGACGGTGGTTTATCCCTTGGCTCATTTAGACATTGTGAAAATGAAGGGCATTATATGTTCTTTTATATACTGCGGAATCGACTCGAATATCGAGCATATTGCCAAGTCCTGTAAGGACTGTGCCAAATATTCACACGCACCACACCGAAATTTCGTGACCACCATCGGAAATATCCACATGGGCCTTGAGAGCGTATCTATATGGACTACGTAGGACCCTTTGCTGGAAAAATATTGCTCATTATCTCTGATGCTTACAGCAAATGGCTCGAAGTTAAAATTACAAGCAGTACAACAACGGCAATCACAGCAATTCTCGATGAAGTAATCACTGCGTATTGAGTCCCCAGTAATTTCCAGAAATTTCTAAAAAATTACATTGAGAGACGTTTCAAGGATTTATTTTCGCAATTCCTGAAAATTTCAAGATTTCAAGATATTGAAGCTCAATAATCAAGAGCCAGGAATAATCAAAAATTGAATTTGAAGTACTCAGTATCTTTTACTTTTGACAGTTTTGTCATCAGATTTTCAAGCTCTAGACACTCAATTTTTGAAGAAATCAAAAATCTTCTTTGGAATTTCCTAAAACTTCATTCATAAATCTTGAAACTTTCCAATAGTGAGCCTTGAAAAAGCAACCTTAAAACAATTCCCTGATTGTTTTGACGAAAATTAAAAGCGAACAATTTGTCTGCGTGAGTCTTAATTCCGACTCCCGCGACACACGTTTTGCGAATTTGCAATTTCCTCTCGCCAGGAATTACCAAATCGAACACCAGAGCCATTTATAAACTCCGGGGAGTTCTAAATTAACACCCTAATTTCGTTCGTATATAACGCGACTTTGTTTCTATTAGCATACACCTTCACAATTTCAAAAAAAAAATAATTAAAAATAATTACTCACGGAGGGTTATACATTTTGTTAGTGCATTGGGTGATTAAAACAATTTGAAACCCTCTCTCTGAGTCTGATGTTGCCCCTTTGAGAGTTTTGTACTTTTAAAAAAAAACATTGCGGTAATGGGGATACTTTTTCTTTGAAAAAGTAACTTTTCTTGCAACTAATCCGGAAGTGAGGGAATATATGTGGTGCATTGAAAGCCGGAAAAAGATCGTCTCCTGGGTAATTTAATTAAAAGCCCCTTAGGGCTTTCAAAATTGATACTTATTGGAAGTTGTAGTTTAGAAGTTTTCAGTCAAAAATTGATAAGAAAAATTAAAATTCCATCGTCCGGAAACAAGAAGAAAAGTGAAAGCCAAACAATAATACCAGCACTGTCATTGTTTATTCTGTACATCAAAACAGAAACAGCAAGAGATTTCAAGTTATAACATTGCTGTTGAAGTAGGTATCAAAACAAGGTACATCATAATAGGCCTGAATTTAACAAAATTATTCTGAATATTCAGCTAGACTTAAGACCGGTTTATCAGTGAACAGTTATTTAGTATAACTGGCAGTTAACTAGTAAGTAATTATCATAAGTCAACCGACAGCTAAACTATGTAACCTTCCACTGAGAAATATTCCAAGGATAAACCGATCCTTATTAAATGCATCCAGAAAAATAACGTCAATTTTCTTGACAGCTTATTAAACATTGAACTTTAGAGTTTGACTTTAGTATATGACCAAATTGCAGCTAAATCAATCATTTATTAAGTCCTTGTTAGTTAACAGAAACCTTAGACTGTGTCAATGTCAATATGATATTGTTTTTGTGTGGCACAATCAAAGATTTTCGTTAACTAACCAGGACTAAACTAACAATTGATCTAGCTCAAGGGGTAAACCACCATCCCAGAATTGGTGCAAACAATTCCTCAAAAGGGAATTTTTTACGTATAATTCTTCAAAATTCCTACAAATTCCTCCAAATACCACACCACGAACTTTTCCAAATACCCCACAAATTCCTATAAAAAAGGGAAAATTTCGAAACTTTTTGTATGTAAAGAGGAAGGTGCGAAGCTCATTTTCTCAAAGTTTCAAATTTTTCCAGTAAAAAATAACAACATAAAAAATCAACCTACATAAACTGAATTAGTTGAAAATACAGTCTCACACATTTCAAAGTTTTCATGGAAAACTAGTGAAGGGAAAATTTTGCATGTAAAGAGGAAGGTGAGAAGCTCATTTTCCCAGAATTTCAAATTTTTCAAGTAGCAAATTACAACATGAGGAATCTTGAAAATCAACCTACATAAACTGAATTAGTTGAAAATACAGTCTCACACATTTCAAAGTTTTCATGGAAAACTAGTGAAGGGAAAATTTTGCATGTAAAGAGGAAGGTGAGAAGCTCATTTTCCCAGAATTTCAAATTTTTCAAGTAGCAAATTACAACATAAGGAATCTTGAAAATCAACCTACATAAACTGAATTAGTTGAAAATACAGTCTCTCATATTTCAAAGTTTTCCTGGAAAACTAGATAAGGGAAAATTTTGAAACTATTTGCATGTAAAAAGGAAGGTGAAAAGCTCATTTTCCCAGAATTTCAAATTTTTCAAGTAGCAAATTACAACATAAGGAATCTTGAAAATCAACCTACATAAACTGAATTAGTTGAAAATACAGTCTCTCATATTTCAAAGTTTTCCTGGAAAACTAGATAAGGGAAAATTTTGAAACTATTTGCATGTAAAAAGGAAGGTGAAAAGCTCATTTTCCCAGAATTTCAAATTTTTCAAGTAGAAAATTACAACATGAGGAATCTTGAAAATCAACCTACAATAACTGAATCAATTGAAAATACAGTCTCACATATTTCAAAGTTTTCCTGGAAAACTAGTGAGGGGAAAATTTTGAAACTTTTTGCATGTAAAACGGAAGGTGAGAAGCTCATTTTCCCAAAATTTCAAAATTTTCCAGTTGAAAACAGCAACATGAAAAATCTTGGAAATCAACCTACAAAAACTGAATTAGTTGATAATACAGTCACACACATTTCAAAGTTTTCCTGGAAAACTAGTGAAGGGAAAATTTTGAAACTTTTTGCATGTAAAAAGGAAGGTGAGAAGCTGATTTTCCCAGAACTTCAAATTTTTCCAGTAGAAAATTACAACATGAGGAATCTTGAAAATCAACCTACAATAACTGAATTAATTGAAAATACAATCTGACATATTTCAAAGTTTTCCTAGAAAACTAGTGAAAGGAAAATTTTGAAACTTTTTGCATGTAAAGAGGAATGTGAGAAGCTCATTTTCCCAAAGTTTCAAATTTTTCCAGTGGAAAACAGCAATATGAAAACACTTGGAAATGAACCTACAAAAACTGAATAAGTTGAAAATACAGTCTCACACATTTCAAAGTTTTCCTGGAAAACTAGAGAACGGAAAATTTTGAAACTATTTGCATGTAAAAAGGAAGGTGAAAAGCTCATTTTCCCAGAATTTCAAATTTTTCAAGTAGAAAATTACAACATGAGGAATCTTGAAAATCAACCTATAATAACTGAATTAATAGAAAATACAGTCTCACATATTTCAAAGTTTTCCTGGAAAACTAGTGAGGGGAAAATTTTGAAACTTTTTGCATGTAAAACGGAAGGTGAGAAGCTCATTTTCCCAAAATTTCAAAATTTTCCAGTTGAAAACAGCAACATGAAAAATCTTGCAAATCAACCTACAAAAACTGAATTAGTTGATAATACAGTCTCACAGATTTCAAAGTGTTCTTGGAAAACTAGTGGAGGGAAACTTTTGAAACTTTTTGCATGTAAAAAGGAAGGTGAGAAGCTCATTTTCCCAGAACTTCAAGTTTTTCCAGTAGAAAATTACAACATGAAAAATCTTGAAAATCAACCTACAAAAACTGAATAAGTTAAAAATACAGTCTCACACATTTCAAAGTTTTCCTGGAAAACTAGTAGAGGGAAAATTTTGAAACTTTTTGCATGTAAAGAGGAAGGTGAGAAGCTCATTTTCCCAGATCTTCAAATTTTTCCAGTAGAAAATTACAACATGAAGAATCTTGAAAATCAACCTAAAAATAACTGAATTAATTGAGAATACAGTCTCACACATTTCAAAGTTTTCCTGGAAAACTAGTGAAGGGAAAATTTTGAAACTTTTTACATGTAAAAAGGAAGGTGAGAAGCTCATTCTTCCAAAGTTTCAAATTTTTCTAGTGAAAAATAACAACATGAAAAATCTTGGAAATCAATCTACAAAAACTGAATAAGTGGAAAAAACAGTCTGACACATTTCAAAGTTTTCCTGGAAAACTAGCAAAGGGAAAATTTGGAAACTTTTTGCATGTAAAGAGGAAGGTGAGAGGCTCATTTTGCCAGATCTTCAAATTTTTCCAGTAGAAAATTACAACATGGGGAATCTTGAAAATTAACCTACAATTAATTGAAAATACAGTCTCACATATTTCAAAGTTTTCCTGGAAAATTAATGAAGGGAAAATTTTGAAACTTTTTGCATGTAAAAAGGAAGGTGAGAAGCTCATTTTCCCAGAGTTTCAAATTTTTCTAGTGAAAAATAACAACATGAAAAATCTTGGAAATCAATCTACAAAAACTGAATAAGTGGAAAATACAGTCTCACACATTTCAAAGATTTCTTGGAAAACTAGTGAAGGGAAAATTTTGAAACTTTTTGCATGTAAAAAGGAAGGTGAGAAGCTCATTTTTCCAAAGTTTCAAATTTTTCTAGTAAAAAATAACAACATGAAAAATCTTGGAAATCAATCTACAAAAACTGAATAAGTGGAAAATACAGTCTCACACATTTCAAAGATTTCCTGGAAAACTAGTGAAGGGAAAATTTTAAAACTTTTTGCATGTGAAGAAGAAGGTGAGAAACTCATCATTTTCCCAAAGTTTCAATTTTTTCCAAATTGATAAGAAAAATTAGAATTCCATCGTCCGGAAACAAGAAGAAGAAAAGTGAAAGCCATCAAACAATAATAATTAGCTTTTCCCTTCCTTTTTACCAGCAGCAGCGACGCTTAGAAGTGTGGTACCTACTGCCCGCGCGAAATCTCTGTGAAGCAATCGCAGTACCACTATACACGGCGGTACGGTACTATAATACTACCTAACACATTGTGTATATCGATTAGAAAAATGACCGAAGAAGTACCCGCAACGAGGTACGACTTGCCTCTAAAACAACTCAATAGAATCGCGAAACGGCCTCCGGTCGATATCGAGTTTCAGGATTTGGTTTATTCAGTTAGGGATTCTTATACTGGGACCGGTAAGTTTTTGGAGTTTTTCTATATATATATATTATATTGTGAAACTTGAACTTTTTCTACTACAATGAATAAGCAAGCAACAATTGTTATGCATGGATTTGGCCTTATATTGAAAATTACCATACAAAAGGAGATTTTTTTTTCAGTACCTAAAGTACTGTATACATAATTCATTTTATTATTATTATTGGCGTTAATAACAATAATAATTATGAAAGGCGCAACATTGCCTTTTAAATACAATTAATTTAGTACCTTTTTCGTGTAATATACAAGTGTCTATAATTGACTTGTGTATACCATTTGGCTTAATTGATTTTTTTTTACATGTAAACATTGTAGAATAAGATCCAAGAAAAAATAATTTGAAATAATTCCAAATAATAATTAATGCATATATGTATACATATGTACGCAAGTACGCAATAGAAAAAAAAATCTAATAAATATAGTGTATGAAAATCCTATGAGCAAAATAATAATTAACAAATTCACGTAATCGTTTCCTATACATGTGCAGGCACATTAATAATTGCCCTGTACAATAATTATTTATGGTCAATTAAAAAAATAATTAATTCAATTTTTACCTTGATTCATTTTTCCAGGATGGCGTCAGCTTTTGAAATCAATCAATGGGAAATTTCGGTCTGGAGAATTGACCGCTATTATGGGACCATCGGGGGCTGGAAAGAGTACTTTGTTAAATATATTGGCTGGATATGTGTAAGTGAAAAAGAGCCTTATCTTGTATGTGTAAGATATCTTCATCTAACAAAGCAAATTTAAAGTCTATCTGAAGCTTGGAAATAAAATCAAGAGGTTTTTTCCAATTTGATACCAGAAAAAGTTGGAAAATTCCGGTTTGAAAAATACTTTGGAATATCAGATCGATTTCAAACTTTCAGGATTTATTAACCATGATGTTTTCATGAAACAAGGCAAATTTGAAGTCAATCTGAAACTTAGAAACAAAATTATGATGTTTTTATCAACTTGATACCAAAAAAAGTTGGAAAATTCAGGTTAAAACACTTTTGAAAAATCCTGAAAAATACTTCAGAGTATCAGATCGATTTTAAACTTCCAGGATTTATAAACCAGGATGTTTTCATCAAACAAGGCAAATTTGAAGTCAATCTGAAGTTTAGAAATAAAATTATGAGGTTTTTTGCAACTTAATAGCAGAAAAAGTTGGAAAATTCAGGTTAATACACCTTTGAAAAATCCTGAAAAATACTTGGGAATATCAGATCGACTTGAAACTTTCAGAATTTATTAACCAGGATGTTTTCATCAAACAAGGTAAATTTGAAGACAATCTGAAGCTCAGAAATGAAATTATGAGGTTTTTTCCAACTTGATACTTAAAAAAGTTGGAAAATTTAGGTTAAATCACCTTTGAAAAATCCTGAAAAATACTTCGGAGTAACAGATCGATTTCAAACTTTCAGGTTTTGTTAATCAGGATGTTTTCATCGAACAAGGCAAATTTTAAAGTAAATCTGAAGTTTAGAAATAAAATTATGAGGTTTTTCGCAACTTAATAGCAGAAAAAGTTGAAAAATTTAGGTTAAATCACCTTTGAAAAATCCTGAAAAATCCTGAAAAATACTTCGGAGTATCAGACCAGTTTCAAACTTTCAGGATTTATTAACCAGGATGTTTTCATCGAACAAGGCAAATTTAAAGTCAATCTGAAACTTAGAAATAAAATTACGAGGTTTTTTTCAACTTGATACCAGAAATAGTTGGAAAATTCCAGTTTAAAAATCCTGAAAAATATTTCCGAATATCAGATCGATTTCAAACTTTCAGAAATTATTAGCCAGAATATTTTCATCAAACAAAGCAAATTTGAAATCCATCTGAAGCTGAAAAACAAAATTATGATGTTTTTCCCAACTTGATACCAGAAAAAGTTGGGAATTCAGGTTAAATCAGCTTTGAAAAATCCTGAAAAATACTTCGGAGTATCAAATCGAATTCAAACTTTTAGGATTTATTAACCAGTATGTTTTCATCAAACAAGGCAAATTTGAAGTCAATCTGAAGCTCAGAAATGAAATTATGGGGTTTTTTCCAACTTGATACCAGAAAAAGTTGGAAAATTCAGGTTAAAACAACTTTGGGAATTCCTGAAAAATACTTCGGAGTATCAGATTGATTTCAAACTTTCAGGATTTATTAACCAGGATGTTTTCATCAAGCAAGGCAAATTTGAAGTCAATCTGAAACTTAAAAATAGAATTATGAAATTTTTTCCAATTTGATACCAGAAAAAGTTGAAAAATTCACGTTAAATCACCTTTGAAAAATTCTGAAAAATACTTCGGAGTATCAGATCGATTTCAAACTTTCAGGATTTATTAATCAGGATGTTTTTATTTAACAAGATAAATTTGAAGTCAATCTGAAGCTCAGAAATGAAATTATGAGGTTTTCTTCCAACTTGATACCAGAAAAAGTTGGAAAGTTCAGGTTAAATCAGCTTTACAAAATCCTGAAAAATACTTCGGAGTATCAGATCGATTTCAAACTTCCAGGATTTATTAACCAGTATGTTTTCATCAAACAAGGCAAATTTGAAGTCAATCTGAAGCTCAGAAATGAAATTATGAGGTTTTTTCTAACTTGATACCCGAAAAAGTTGGAAAATTCAGGATAAAACAACTTTGGGAATTCCTGAAAAATACTTCGGAGTATCAGATTGATTTCAAACTTTCAGGATTTATTAACCAGGATGTTTGCATCAAGCAAGGCAAATTTGAAGTCAATCTGAAACTTAAAAATAGAATTATGAAATTTTTTTCAATTTGATACCAGAAAAAGTTGAAAAATTTACGTTAAATCACCTTTGAAAAATTCTGAAAAATACTTCGGAGTATCAGATCGATTTCAAACTTTCAGGATTTATTAACCAGGATGTTTTTATTTAACAAGATAAATTTGAAGTCAATCTGAAGCTCAGAAATAAAATTATGACGTTTTTTCCAACTTGATACCAGAAAAAGTTGAAAAATTCAGGTTAAATCAGCTTTGAAAAATCCTGAAAAAACTTCCAGGTTTCAGATCGATTCCAAACTTCCAGGATTTATTAACCAGTATGTTTTAATCAAACAAGGCAAATTTGAAGTCAATCTGAAGCTCAGAAATGAAATTATGAGGTTTTTTCCAACTTGATACCAGAAAAAGTTGGAAAATTCAGGTTAAAACAACTTTGGGAATTCCTGAAAAATACTTCGGAGTATCAGATTGATTTCAAACTTTCAGGATTTATTAACCAGGATGTTTTCATCAAGCAAGACAAATTTGAAGTCAATCTGAAGCTCAGAAATGAAATTATCAGGTTTTTTTCCAACTTGATACCAGAAAAAGTTGGAAAGTTCAGGTTAAAACAGCTTTGGGAATTCCTGAAAAATACTTCGGAGTATCAGATCGATTTCAAACTTCCAGGATTTATTAATCAGTATGTTTTTATCAAACAAGGCAAATTTGAAGTCAATCTGAAGCTCAGTATCATAATTATGAGGTTATCTGCAACTTGATATCAGAAAAAGTTGGAAAATTCAGGTCAAATCACCTTTGAAAAATACTTCGGAGAGTCTGATCGATTTCAAATTTTCATGATTTATTAATCAGAATGTTTTCATTAGACAAAGCAAATTTGAAGTCAATCCGAAGCTCAGAACCAAAATTATGGTGTTTTCCCCAACTTGATACCAGGAAAAGTTGGAAAATTCAGGTTAAATCACCTTTGAAAAATCGTGAAAAATACTTCGGAGTATCAGATCGATTTCAAACTTTCAGGATTTATTAACCAGGATGTTTCCATTAAACAAGGCAAATTTGAAATCAACCTGAAGCTCAGACATAAAATTATGAGGTTTTTTTGTTATGTAATAAGAAATTTACAAAGAATTCCAGTATTTACATGGAAATACTCATAATTCGAATTCCAAGCCTCAGATTCTCTTCCAGTTTATTTTCTATAATAAAAAGACCATCAATTGCGATTCCAGAAAGTTTGAAGTTGCTTTGAATACTTGAACTATTTTCCAAAAACTTTCAAATATGATTTAATAAGAAATTTACAAATTTTCCTAGTAGGTATTGGACAAAGATTCATAATTCCAATTCTAAACCTTAAATTCTCTTCTAGTTTGTTTTATATACCTACTGAAAAGACTTCAGAAAGTTTGAAGTTGCTCTGAATACTTGAAGCTTTCAAACATGATTTAATTAGAAATTCACAAATTTTTCTAGTATTGACATCATAGTCAAAGATTCATAATTCCAATTCTAAGCCACAGATTCTTTTCCAGTTTATTTTACATAATGAAAAGACCCTCAATTACGAATCTAGAAATTTTAGTCAAAAGAGTCAAAATCATAATAACAACTTTGCCTTCTTAATGTAAAACTAATCCTAGAAAATGATATTTATTTGTCTCAAAACCCTAGAAAAATCAATTAACTACAACTATACAGGGTGATTTACAAAGCCCGTGCATTAGATGCTATTTCTACTAATTCACCTGCAATCTGGAAAACTTCTAATGCACGGACTACGTAAGTATACAAAAATCCTTGCCGCTTGTTTTAAAAACTTCCAATATACGTAAAAGGTGAGAACCTTTTTACAGGTCATATTTGATTTGCCTCGTTGCATTATTCAAAAGTTTGTTTTTCCTTATAAAACTTGACGTACAGTGTATAAGCCTTATTCCTTGGAATCTACGCTTTATGAATGCCTAATTTATTATAACTAAAGTATACACACAGTGACCCTGACTTTGAATTTTTTTATTAGAATTTTATATACATACGCTAAAGTTTAACTTTTTGTAATAGAATTTTGGGGGTTTATTTGATGTTTCTATCCATCGTTTTGTGTCAAAACTTTTGGGTCTATAGTCACTATTAAAAATCGATTTTTATGTACTTATTAGATTACTTGCATAATGATTGACATTCTAATCGACGATTATTTATAATTTTACGTTTTGTGCGTGTTTTGAAGTAGTATAAATTTGAATTTTTTAATGTTTAATTAATGGGTTTTCTAATTAGGAAACAATAATGTCAGCTTTATTTTTCGGTTTTCGCAGTTTTCCAAATTTGGATATAGAAGATGAATACAAGCTATGTCACCAGACCCTAAAACTACTCCTAGAGTATTCCTATTGGTCCAATATTTTGGTGCCAAACAATTGGAATAGGATCAACGGATTGACGGAAAAACGGATGCATGAAAAGTAAGCTTAACGATACGCAACCTGATAACCTTAAATAACGAGGAAGCAGCCAACATAGCAAATAAGGTGCTGATACCAGCCACGTAACAAACGAACTATATAAATGGAAGAAAGACCAATTGCCCATATACTGGAGACAATTAAACTCCAGGACTAAGACAGGCAAAGAGAATCATCACCACATCAAAAAAGAGGACAAAACAAGTCCTATATTTACACATGAACAGAAATTATATCAGAGGGGCCTTTTTTCAAAATTGATGCAACTTTGCGTTTACGCAAATGACGTCATTCGTGATTGAAAATTGGTGCACGTCTGACGTCATTCGAGTCATATTTGCGTGTACGTAAAGTTGCATCAATTTCAAATAAAGCCTCCCAGATTATTGGTCGAGGTGCTCACCAGAAAGTCCCAGACACTGCCCAATGAAATATCATCTAAAGGCGAAAGAAAAGGTAAAATAATTC